TAAGCATACATTTTTTCATTTTAAAATAGGACAATTTGTGAACCATTTCCATGGAAAATATGGGCATATGTTCCAGAAAAATAAATAAAATTAGAAAGTATTTGTTTCTGAAACTTATTCAAGATGAAAATGGATTTTCCCACATTTTGAATCTTTCATGCATTTGATCAAAGCATTTTTTTCATTAAAGTTTTGTGATTGAAATTAAATTTCTGGGTCACAAAATGCCCAAAAACAAAATAAAAAAGGGCAAAAAAAATTACTCTCTCAAAGCTTTACTAGAAACGTCTTAAATCCAAAAGTTCATAATTACCCTCCATTTTGAGAACAAGGGCTAGGAAACTATGTCAGCACCAATGGCCTTCTGGGATTTCCCACCCAAGGAATTCTGGAAGTTTGACACCTCCCACAATTCCTCTGCATGCTCAAAAGGCCTTTTGAAATCTCCCAAGAGGCAGTGCTTCAAGCAACTGTACTGGGGGGCTATGGCATATCTACTTAGAAAGCAGTGATACTTTAGAGGTGACGTACAACAATGGCAAAACGGCTGTGGTCCTTGTCTAAGGTGAACACAGTGCATTGTGGGTAATCATGCCAGTGAAGGTTTAGGTCTTTATTACAGATAAGGCCCGTGAAGTGAAACTGTTGATTTCTGTTAATAACCACTGCCGAATTGGAAAGAGACTGGTCCAGCGAGGTACACTGCCCATTGCAGAGTTGGATTCTGAATGTTCAGCACGCACAGGGCCGAGGACGCATTGTGTGAGAGCGGAAAGCAGCTGCACCCCATTCTCTTAATGAAAATAAGGCTTATTGTTTTCAGCACCTTCACTGTCATCTTCTTTTAGCTAGAGGCAATAATTAGCTAGGGCCATTACAGACACATTAATTAGCCAGGCTGGAGAGCAGCACTTAAGGGAACATGCAGCCCTGACAATGCTATTGTTTGCTGTGTGGTGTAGAGGTTGCCAGGCAGTCTGTCCCCATGAAATTAAATTCCGATGCACATGTGCGAAAAAAAAAGAATATCTGATTAAGATTATGGAGTGATTGCAAGTTGTCTTATTGTGCTGGCTCTGTGCACCCCTAGGGTTACAAAAAGCAGATTCTGCAGGAAGCCGGCAGTATGCAGTCCTTGGTGGATGAAACGTTTCCATTGTTCCTGTCTTAACTGAATACTTATAGCAGGAGATAACTGTGATTGTTTCTGTGGAACTCAGGATCAGGGTGAGGTATTCCCCAGGTAAAGGAGCTATTCCAAGGCAGAAGTTCCTTTTACATGTCTGAGGCTGACACTCTCTGGTAGTAAGAGGGGACTCCCTTCTGATCTGATCATAAGCAAACTAGGGAAATGTGGTCTAGATGAAATTACTATAAGGTGGGTGCACAACTGGTTAAAAGATCATATTCAAAGAGTAGTTATCAATGGTCAAACTGGGAAGACGTATCAAGTGGTGTCCCACAGAGGTCAGTCTTGGGTCTGGTACTATTCAATATTTTCATTCATGACTTGGATAATGGAATGGAGAGTATGCTTATAAAATCTGTAGATGACACCAAGGGACAAGCACTTTGGAGGACAGGATTAGAATTTAAAACCACCTTGAAAAATCGTAGATTTGGTCTGAATTCAACAAGATGAAATTCAGTAAAGACAAGTACAAAGTACTACACTTAGGAAGGAAAAAGCAAATGCACAACAAAATGGGGAATAATTGGCTAGGTGGTCGTACTGCTGAAAAGGATCTGGGGGTTATAGTAGATCACAAATTGCATATAAATCAACAATGTGATGCAGTTGCAAAAAAGGCTAATATTCTGGGTTCTAATAAGGGGGGAGGGATAGCTCAGTGGTTTGAGCATTAGCCCGCTAAACCCAGGGTTGTGAGTTCAATCAGTGAGGGGGCCATTTAGGGAACTGGGGCAAAAATCTGTTGGATGATTTAATTGGGGATTCATCCTGTTTTAAGCAGGGGGTTAGACTAGATGATTTCCTGAGGTCCCTTCCAACCCTGATATTCTATGATTCTAACAGAGTGTTGAATGTAAGACACAGGAGGTAATTGTCCTACTTTACTTGGCACTGGTGAGGACTCAGCTGGAGTACTGTGTCCAATTCTGGGCACCACACTTTAGGAAAGATGGGGACAAATTGGAGAGAGTCCACAGAAGAGCAACAAAAATGATCAAAGGTTTAGAAAACCTGACTTACGAGGAAAGGTTAAAAAATCTGGGCATGGTTAGCCTTGAGAAAAGAACATTGTGGGGGACCTAAGAACAGTCTTTAAATACAGTGAGGACTGTTATGAAGAACAGTTGATCATTGTCCTCCCTATGTCCATTGAAGGTAGGACAAGAAGTAATGGGCTTAATCTGCAGCACAGGTGATTTAGGTTAGATATTAGCAAAATCTTTTGAACTATAAGGGTAGCGAAGGTCTGGAATAGGCTTCCAAGGAAGGCTATGGCATCCCCATCCTTGGAAGATTTTAAGAACAGGTTGGACAAACACCTGCCAGGGATAGTCTAGGCTTACTTTGCCCAAGCTTAGCACAGGAGGCTGGCCTAGATGACCTCTTGAGATCCTTTGAGCCCTACATTTCTATGATTCAAAGAGCTCTGAGATTTTATTATAGAACACAGTGCTCAGCAGTGGGAAAGCCATGCTAGGAGATGGCTCATCCACTAATAGTGCCTAATCCTGCGAGGGACAAAATGCCCTTTTCTCCCACTACCATTTCTGGGCATTTGGAGCCTGGCGGAAGCATTTAGGTACTTTAGTGGATTCTAGTTATGTCCGAGGAGGAGCATTGCTCATTTTAGATCCAATTTCAGCCCTCTAAGGCCCAGATTCTCAAGGGTATTTAGGTACCTAACTCCCATTGAAATCAAAATCCAGCATGAGGTGCTAGATATGTAAAAGGTACCTTCGAGGCAGTCCTGGCATCTCAAATATGTACCACCAGGTTTTAAAATGGCTCTCAACAAAACCACTCACCAAGGGATAAGGAGGGTAGGTAGAAGCTAGTGTTATTTGGTGGTGGGTGGGGACGGGGGAGCGACCCACATCTCTTGGAGAAAAGCATGTGAGTACTCAGCAGCATGACAGGACCTGAGAGCTACATAAGTCTTCTGCTGTTGAAAGCCAACCTGGCATAAGGGAATGAATGTCAAGCACTGTCTATCCTTGATGGCGCAGTGCGGTAGCATCTATGTCTTGGCACTCGCTGGCTTGCCCATAAGAAGCTTGTTACTAGAGATCTGCTGACTGTTTTGTATAAAGCAAGGGTGGCCCTGTTCCTGAATGGTTGCCCAGATCTCAAACAGACCCTCTCCTCAAAGCTCAGAACAGTTGGGATAACTTTCCTCCTCCCTTATTTTATTTTTCACAGCAGCCTCTGCACTTCCTGGTTCCTGCCAGTCCAGGAAGCAGAAGTGCCAGAATACTGTGACTAACACTGTACTTGTTGTTCCTGCCTGGAAGCAAGTAATTCTGGAAATCTCCTTGCAAAGAATTGTGTGAGAAATTTCCAGCCCTATTTTGCAGCCCAATCCATGGATCAAGGGAAAGAAAACCAACGGAGAATACCCACAAATAAAACAGTACGGATGGGGTCCTGATGGACAGGCACAGCTCAGTCATGTTAATGTGAATTCCACAGGTGCCTCCAAAGGAGAAGGACCCTTGAGGCTGTGAGAGGAGAGAATGATAGCCAAAGGCTGTTCTCAGCTCTGGGAGAAGAGGTACCTTATGTCTTCCCACACCTGAGCTCGACAGGATGGGGACATTTCCTAACCCAATTTGTTTGTCCCCTGTTGTGCCCAGGTGTTAGATGACATATGGTATATTTCTCCCTGAACCATAAATGCCCCGGCACTAACATTTTCCCCCGTCACAGCCTTCATCTTATGGTAATGTCCTTTGGGTTGTGAGAATGAGATCGGGGAGCGTTGGCTTGGAATTGAATTGAATAGATGTTTTGATCTCATTCCAGGCAGGCCTCTCTCTCACGCACTAATGAGAGTGTCGGGAAGTCAAACTTTCCACATCTCCCTGGAATGAATTCCAGAAGCATGACCCGGGTAATCCAAACAAGAGGCAAATATTTGGGACAGAATTCAGCCTTGCAATAGGCAGGTGATTTCATTTATTCCAAGACTGAATTTTTGCCCTTGAAAGGGTTTTCTTCAGACTTCCCCAAAATATATAAATATGTAAAATAAGCACTCGTCCTTGGGCTGAGAACAAGCTTGACAAATTGCAGTCTCATTCAGTGGAAATCCTCTCATTGTCTTCGGTGGGCTTTGGTTCAGGCTCCTATAGCTAGCTCTGGGCACCCAGTGCCTAGCACACGCAGGTGCCATAGTGGAATGGCAGAGCAGGTGTTGCTGCAGGTGAGCTGAGTTTGATCAGGGAGAACTAGAATTGCTGGGGGCTGTGTAGGTCTCTGAGGGACTTCAACAGAGCAGTCGGGGGAACCAAAGTTAGATTAACAAGGTGCTGCATAAGCCAGGTCTGATGTGTTTTGGCAGAGCCGGGGGGAGTTCAGGGCTGGAATAGCGGGAACACTGCAGGTCAGGGATGAGGTGTATTTGCGGGGATGGTGCAATCCTAGCACTGGACTAGCCAGAAGGTCAAGACTGACCTGCATCAGCAGAGCAGTGAGGGGAGACAGGAATCTAGCACCGGGCCATGCTGGAACCACTCTGACCTATACTTAGTGCCATCAAACCTCATCCCCCTGTAAGACCCAGGTTCAGGATTGCAAACATCCCAGCTGTCTGCAGAAGCTGCAATGGGGCCGTTCCGTTCCCTGTGTTTGAATACTCGGCTTTTTGTGCTACAGCCTGTTCTGAGGCTCATTAAGAGAAGACCTTTTCCATGACCCAGAACCAGCAGGTATGGAAATCCACCAAGGCACTTGTAAATAGTAGCAGGATAGCGTGGGCACGCAATAGAGCTTTGCATTTAATATGCCTTTGTCTCCTCTCCTGACGCAGGGATGACTTGCCAGGCCCGGAGCTCCTACATGGACACGGAGGTGCTATGGGGACACCGCTTCACTCCCGTCCTCACCCTTGAGAAAGACTTTTACGAAGTCGACTACAACAGCTTCCACTGCACCTACGAAACCAACACCCCCACGTGCTGTGCCAAGGAGCTGGCCCAGTCTTTCCAAGAGGGCCGGCTCCTCCGCCACCTCTCCAGCGCCACCCTCCTGAGCGGGGGTGGGGAAGCAGAGACAGCAAAAGAGGAACAGGAGGTGGAAGAGGAAGGAAGGGAGGTGGCTGGGCTGAATGGAGCCAATGGAACAGCAGGAGAGGTGAAGGCAGATATGTCTGTATAACACGTGGATCTGTACTGGACAATAGACAATACATATGCTCCTACTGGAGAAACAGTGGGATCCAATGGTTAGGGTACTAGCCTGGCAGTCAAGAGACATGGGTTTTATTCCCAGGTCTGCTACCCACCTTTGGGTGGCCTTGGACAAGTCACTCCGTAGCCCTGTGCCTCAGTTTCTCCCATCTGTAAAACCAGGGTAATGGTACTTTATCCACATTTGCAAAGCATTTTGAGGTCTATGGACAAGACATGCTAGATAAGAGGTGTTATTACTGTTGAAGTTCCCCCACAGATTGCTCTGGAAGAGACTCCTTGGTTGGTCAAAATTATTTCCCTTTCAGGGGATATTTAAAAAGAGAAAACATAAAACAACCCAACAATCTCCCATCTCAGTAAGAAGAATGTAGTTTCGTTCCTTCACTTAATTTACAAGTCAATGCATTGTAGACATTATTACTGCTAAATTAAAAGAGAGGAAAGAAAAATCCGATCCTGTTTCCAGCTTCCTAGTGATTGCACATGGTGTTTTAGAATTTTCCTCTTGAACTGTGTCCACCATGATTCATTTCCGACAGGCTGAAACACCTAACAGTGGGATGGCGGGTCTCTCTTCTGAGATAAATCAGGCATTTCCCACTCTGGCTTTGTGTTGTGGCCTCTTTATCACATGCATTCTACTGGTCAGGCTTTCCTCCCAGACTGGTACAGTGCCATCTCAGGTGTAATTGTTTTGGACAGCCATGCTGCTCAGTGCATTGCTTGTCGTCATGGGATGTTTAGATCTTGCCCATGATAATGGTGTTTGGACCTGTGTGTCCCAGGTTCAATCCCCAATTTCTTCCATGGCAATGAGTTCCAGGTCCCTCTGTAACGTATGGTCTATTTAGAGGATAAAAGTGTACTACTGCTACCAGTTAAGATGTATTCCTTTTGCTTATCGATTTCAGTGGAGATATTCCAGATGTACACAACTGTAACAGAATAGAATCTGGCCACATGTTGCTTCTGCGAGCAAATGGGGTGGGGAGGAGGAAACTCAGGGCTATCTACACAGCTCCATGGTTTAAACAAAAGGGGTGTGAATTGTAGCATACATTCTCGTGCTATGCTGTAACTCCCCTGCGTGGATGCTTTGGGCACAGACTAACAGGTAGCTCGTTCCCAGTAACTTAGTCCTGTTTAAAGATGGCGACATTAAGGCAAATTAGGTATCTTTTAGTTCGCACCCGCAGTGTCCACACAGGGGAGTTACAGCATGCTAGTGCATGCACAAGTCACACACACACACACACCCCATAGTCCAAACTGCTGGGTCATGTAGGCATAACCTTAATCTGTATTTCTGTGCCCACCTGGCATTGATTCTGGGTTTATATATAATCACTGGGTGAAATTCAGCTCTTGCAGAAGCAGCTTCGATAGAACTGAAATCATTGGGATTGCATCCACTTACAACAGCTCTGAATTTGGTCCCCGAGGCTTTAGAAATTAAACACATGCACACACACAAATCTGTGTTACATAATCTCTGGGGTGATAACCAGAAAGTTGAACATCAAGTGGATCCAGTTAGGGGCGGAGAGGTGCCAAAGGTGACCTTGTTATTCTGCTTCACTGTATGCAACGTTCTCTGCTATTCTTTAAAACAAATGCTGTTTTTCCTTATGGTTTCTTTAGACGATGGAAATTTGCTGTCACGTAAGTACAGCCATGTAGTGAAGCCAGTGTAAACACGTGGGCCCTGATTCTCAACGGTATTTAAGGCTTACAATGGAAATTAGGAGCCTAAACACCTTTGAGAATCTGGGTCATGAGTTGAAATCCTGGCTTCACCTAAGTCAATGGCAAAACCCCTGTTGACTTCAAGGGGGTCAGGACATCTCCCTTAGTGTAGACACACTGCACTGGTTCAGAATGGGGCTCACATGAGTGTGATTTACCCCAGTAAGCTGCATAGTTTATCACAGGTTCAATGTGTCCACATTAGGTGGCTTCACCAGTTTAACTACATCCAGGTATTTCCACTGATACAAAGAGGTACTTCCCTCAGATAAAGATCCCTAACTGGAAAATCAGAGCCAGTGTCCTAGCACTCGTAAGCCATACCACCCCAGGGTGTTCACGAAGGACTCTTTGGTAACATCTCAGTGGGCTCACCATTGACCTACCAGTTACATCTCCCAGTATATTGGGAATGCTTTGTCTTGGAGATCACTTATCCCCCAGTTAAAGAACTCCTGAGGCCCCTGGGAGTTCTTGGTCATGACTACTGTAGGAGCAGGGTTGGACTCTAGTTCCACGAAGCAGGACAGAAAAAGACTAAACCCAGGAGGGGACGGGAAAGCTGCCTACATCTAAGAAATAATTATCTATGAAAATTGTTTTCCGGGAGCCTTCAGTCCATGGCTCAAGTGCGCTCCTGATGTCAGGGAGAATAATGGAAAGTGAAACCAGAGCTGATCTTTGCAAGGCAGAGGTAATTTCAGACCTTCGCAGAGGAGCAGTTAAGCTCTGCATGATGAACTGACCTGTCCAGTTTAATTCAGCATTCAAGTCCTGGGAAGCTGGGGCTTCCTGTGTGATTATAGGGACAGGGAACTGTAAAGGGGTTTGATCCTGAGGCCTCAGCTCACGCCAATTGCTGTTCTATACCCTCCTGAGATAAACTGGCCAATTCATAAAGGGCCCGTCCCAGGCAACGTGGAGCTTATTCTTCTACACTGGGATGAGGACCATCACTTGGTCCCCTGTGCCATATACGAGACCTTCTGTTTCCCTGGGGCCCGGGTTTGGTTCTCCCTGCCCAAACTCATGAGCTCAGTGAGCTTTTCCCAGATAGTACAATGGTCCACCACTGATTCTCCAGCAGGAGCGGCCTTCCCCTCCCATTTGTCCCTCATCAAGTCCAGGGGTCCCCTCATTCTCCTCCCATACAGCAGCTCGTAAGGAGAGAACCCTGTGGATTCCTGGGGCTCAGTGCCCTGGAAAACTGCTTTTGAAAATAGTGTCAAACCTGCAAATTATGCATCGTATGCTGCTAGGATTCTTCCTAAAATCATCCACACCATCGACCACAAAGGGCTGGTCTGCGCTTAAAATGTAGATTAATAAAGCTATGTCTGTGCCAGCCTAACCCCGGTGTAGAATAAGCTAGGGCAGCAGAAGAATACTTCCATCAACCTAGCTACTGTCACCTGGAGAGGTGGATTCCTACAGTGATGGGAAAACCGCTTCTGGCGGTGTAGGAAGTGTCTACACTATGGCTCTACGGCAGCATGCCTGTGGCACCATAGCCTTGCCCTTGTAGCGTCCATAGTGTAGACAAGCCCTGAAGCTGGTTAAATGTAGCATTGTGCCCAATGATGGCATAACTCTACCTCAGAATGCATTGGCCTTTCGGCATGTCTGATGACACAAGCATCTTAATTTTCCCGCTATTCAGCAGGGTCCTTAGATGATTGATTTGCGTGGTCCTACTCATGGGTTTCAAATTAAGCACATGTTTAAGTACCTTGCTGAACTGGTGCCCCAAGCCTCATCAGTGTGATTTCTGCTATTAGAGCGCTTATTGATTCCTATACTGGAAAAAAATACCATTCTGTGGTTTTCTGTGTACTTTTAATACGTTCCGTTAAGCTGATGAGATATATAAGAACTGCTGAGACAATAGATTTATAATAGACCTATCTAAAGCAGGCCAAACTTTCACACTTGAACACAAGAGAAATAACTACATCTATCTATCTAACCCCATGCACCCCATCTATCAATCTATCTATCCCCATACACTCCATCCATCTATCTAATCTATTTATCTGTCTAGGAACTAAAGTAGCCCTTGTCAATGTAGTATCTGCGAAGCACTCCCTTATGACAGTGTAATTCCATTGACTTGAAAGGAGTTATTCCAGAATTGCAGTCATTGCAGAGAGAGCAGAATATGATCTATTGACATCACTGAGACTTTACACTGAACTCTTTGGGACGGGGACTGTCTCTCACTATGTGTTTGTACAGCACCTAGCACAACAGGGTCCTGGTCTCATTTGAGACCTCTAGGTGCTGCCTTAATTCAAACAATTAATGATAATAATAATACTAATTTGAGCAAGAATTGTAAGATCAGGTCCTAATTGTAGTAGAAGAAATATTATCAACACCCTCTTGTTGGCCTCAAACCAGCTTTGTGTATATTTTGGCATGTTCAATAATGTGCGCAAATGAAACCATCCTCTTCCGAATGCTCTCCCATCCTTTGCTATTTAAGGGTCAAGTTCTGCTCTGTTACACTAGTACAAATCTGGAGTGACTCACTGTGCTTCATTGGAGCCACTCCAGATTTACCTGGGCCTGGCATAACCTAGAGCAGAACTCAGCCTTGACTTTATATAACAAAATACCAGTGGCCAATTCTCCTCTAGCTTACATCAGTCGAAGTGTACTGGAGTTATTCCTGATTGTGTCATCATGCACGAGATCAGACTCAGGGCCCTCTATATTTGTCATCCTTTCACTGGCCTTGAAATGGGAACTGCAACCACTTTTATAAATGGATTGAAAGCTCGTCTAGTTTCTCTGTAACTTAATTAAATATCCTCTCCATCATCTGCCAAACTGCTGCTTAATACGTTCTGGCAACAATCCTCTCTCCCATGAATTGTAGCAGATATGGCTGGCAATGCAGGAAGGCTTATCATGTGATATTAATTACTTGAGCATAAATAACATTCTCCCTTATCTCAGCTTCATAATTCAGTGTTTCTGATAGAAATAAATTCATAATAATAAAGGAGAGATAACAGCAAGGGGGTAGATCTGGGTCTAAAATGAATGACAGCTCTTGCAATGGCTGGAAACTGAAGCTAGACAAATTCAAATTAGAAATTACAAGATTTACAAAGGGATCTCACAAAACTGGGTGACTGGGCAACAAAATGGCAGATGAAATTCAATGTTGATAAATGCAAAGTAACACAAATTGGAAAACATAATCCCAGCTATACATATAAAATGATGGGTCTAAATTAGCTGTTGCCACTCAAGAAAGAGATCTTGGAGTCATTGGGGATAGTTCTCTGAAAACATCCATTCAATGTACAGCGACAGTCAAAAACGCTAACAGAATGTTGCAAATCATTAGGAAAGGGATAGATAATAACTCAGAAAACATCATATTGCCTCTATATAAATCCATGATATGCCCACATCTTGAATACTGCGTGCAGACTTGGTCTCCCCACCTCAAAAAAGATATATTGGAATTGGAAAAGGTACAAGAAAAATTATTAGGGGTATGGAACGGCTTCCATGTGAGAAGAGATAAGTAAGACTAGGACTTCTCAGCTTGGAAAAGAGATGACTATAGAGGTCTATAAAATCATGACTGGTGTGGAGAAAGTAAATAAGGAAGTGTCATTTATTCCTTCTCATAACTCAAGAACTAGGAGTCACCAAATTAAATTAACAGCCGGGTGTTGTGAAGCCTATA